AGTGATTCAGGCTGGGCTGCTGAGGGAGGTGTTGAGGTACGAGGCTCATCTGAAATAACCATTATTCGGGCAAAAAAAAGAAAATTCGAGCTTTATGGGAAGACATGGGGGCATTGTGGTGGTAATGCACTCAGAACTGCGCAGAACACACTCTTTTGTTGAAATCGAAGCTGTGCCTCAGGCGAGAGAGGAGCCCGCTCCTAAGGTTTAGTCATAGAGGATGCTCCAGTGTCCTGCGATAGCGCCAAAATTCATTTTCGCTGAATGTTCCGGACAGGGATAGCTTTGGGAAAAGTGGAGAAAGGAAATCGCGGGAGTTCCGTTCACCATCGCCAAAATGCAAGTACCCGACAGGAGGCCCGTCGCGCGGCAAGAAGGCAGAGTCAGCGGACGAGTCGCAGCGCGTGCTGTGCGATGTAGGACGTACAATGGACATTATTTAACTTGACGCGAAATCCTACAGTACGCGCAACTCGTCCGCTGACTCTGCCTTCTTGTCGCGCGACGGGCCTCCTGTATGGTATACCGAGAATGCTCCAGCCAATTACCTTGGACTGCAAACATACAGCAGAAAGGGAGCCACAGTTGTTTGGGAGGAAGATAGCAATAATTCAAGGATTCGTAAACCACCATGAGCCAATCTAGCGGCTCAGCACTCATCGCAATAGCTCCGTAATTCCGAATAAAAATGAATACATGGCGCATCCCAACGTGTGACAAAGGCAAGCACATGCTGTTTCCACCAACTTGGCTTGCCTATCCATCTTCATAATCGAACGCCAAATCGACCACGGAACAGCGCGACTAGCTTCCAGATAATCGTAATAATATAGCAATTGACTGACCATTCTTGCTTAGCCTGCGCCAAATGCCATTCACCGTGCAATTAGGAAATTGCGTTATTTTTTAATACACACCGCGATCTGTGCTTGAATCCCCAAGCAGACAACTACCGTTAGTACTTTTTGAAATTTTTTTTCGAGTCCCCCCCTTTATGGGCGATTTGATAAGAACCCCCGTGTGTAATACTTGTGTACAGACAATGTATGCCACTAATTTTTTATTGAAATCTTTGAATTGATTGAATGAATTTTAAAATATGGATTTTTTTCTTCTGTGATCAATAGGGATGTTACCAGAATCCCACTTCCGCCACCGATAGAGTACACCACCTCCAAGCTCACAAGCTATCCACGATGGGAAAGTAAAGGGAAATAGAGGAAATAGAGGAAAAATAAGTTGGGAAGAAGGGGTCGTTTGAAAACTGTAGTGAAGGGAGGAGTCGTAAGAATTTTGCAAAAAGTTCCAACTATAGGACTGACCCTTGCCCCACCCCCGTTGGTGCTTGTAGCGACATGGGGTTGACCCGGGCGGATCGCATGCCCGGGGAATGGGCTGGGGTGCGGCTGTGGCGTGTGTGGGGCTTTGGTGGTGTTGGTGGGCGGCGGGCTTACGACAACGATTAGCCGATTCAGATAGAGACCTTGGGTGGAACGTGTAGGACTCGATTTACGGAACAGGAGGAAGGTGACGGCACCTTTTGTCGATTCCTTCAACCTTACTGGATAAATGGGTAGAAATTAACCACAGCCATTACGCCGTGGGCAGCGCCCACAGCATATTTTTCTCACGAATATAAACAAAAGAGTCATACGGTAGTAATCAACGAGTAACGAACCCTTCTTCGGATCCACTTCATGATCGACAAAGAACGGTGATGAGTCCTTGTGGGTGCTGAGACCAGAAGACGTTGAAGCAGAATGCCCTGAATAACATCGGCTTGTTGCCCAGTAAAGGTAGAAGGGGAAATTTGAATGGAACAACAAAGAGAACTACCTCTGGACTCCATTTCATCGTCCTCGTCGAAATAGTCGACGGCCTTTTTCACAGATGGCTTGCGATTCACTCGTCACCATCACAGTCGGCAGTACACCGTTCGATAATTGGCGATGTGGTGGATTACCCAGCAGCGCTCCGATGTCATCGTCCTCATCATCCATCGAGAAGTCACCATCGTCTAACTGGAACGTATCAGGATCAAATCCTTTGGCGGTCGTTTCCCTAGGGGGACATTCAAACCAGGGCCGATGGAGGTTACACTAGGACTAAGCCCAGGAGAGGGAGAAACGCCAGGGAGCACACAAACTTGCTCACCCCTCCCAAGATCAATCCCCTCTAAGGCTCAGCCTAAACACAGTAATTGGCTCACTCACTTGAATGCCCCCCCCCCCACGACATGAGCGCCCAAATCTTTTAAAAGGTGGATTCTGGTTTTTGGAGGGAATCTGTAGGGGTGAAGAAGATGGAGTAGAGAGGGGCGAAGGAAGTGCATAGGCTCATGGTTAGACCGAAGCCCAGTAATTGGCTCACCCACGTTGAAATGTCCCCAAGCGACATCAGCGTCCAAATTTTTCAAAAAGTGATTCTGTGTTTTGGAAGGAACTCTGCAGGTGAAGAAGTAGGGCTAGGGTAAGGTTGAGGACGGAGGTGGAGAAGAAGCCCAACTGAGTAAGAAGGATCCCTCTTGAAAAAAATGGATATAATTATTTGGAATTTTGGTACAAGTACGACCCCTCTATGCTATTTCACGCCGAAAAAAAGAAAAGTGTCCAAGGGGATTTGTGGAAAAATTAAGTAGAGGGGAAAAGTGTGAGATATTCTCAGGCACATTGACCTACCGACAACTAGAATGCCACGGCAGATGCCCTCTGATGGCCAATACGACGACGATAGAACTCCTCAACAATGACCCCACAACAGCCCCTCAACCCCTCTCCCCATCCTCGTCCATCATCCAACCAGGAATTGCTCTGCAACTACATATACATCAAGTCTAAAGAGAGGGGTGATCATGGGTCACCCGTGTGTTGGGTAACTATTCGAGCAACAGGATAACCAGTGGTAGTTTGTAATGGGTGAATATTGCGGGATTTTCCGTGATGTATTGGAGGTAGGATAGGTGGAATAGAGAATCGTTTGGCCGTTTCATTGACCTAATTCCCAATCCCGCCCGCCGCGCCTCCCCCATACGAACAATAAAGTACTTCAGTTATGTCCACAACTTGCCGTCTCTGAAAGCCTCTCCCATCTATGATGTGAGGTGATGTCGGAGAAAGGGGAAGGGGATCTGTGTAGGGGAGCATCGCTGAGTCCCATCGTGGTGGTGGGGGAGGCCGTTCGATTCGTCGGACCCTAACGGAGAGGATCGCGAATTTTGAAATGTGGCGAACGTCAGCGGTTGACGCTTGGACGGGACACCTAGCAAAACCCGCGGAAATCCCAAAATTCCCTCTGAGAGAGAAAACAATAAATCCTTATCATTAGAAAATTTCTACACCCTAGCGAACTTTATAGGCCGATGTCAGACTTTGCGAATCGCGCGATTCGCTACTAGCGATTCGCTAGCGTCGCGGTCGCGTTGCGGTACCAGCCAATTGAGTGATTCACTGGCCGCGACGCGACCGCAGACGCTAGCGAATCGCGCGATTCGCAAAGTCTGACATCGGCCTACCAGCCTTTTAAGACATACTTCCCATTCAAACGATTGCTCCGGCTGCGCTAGCGTCAGAAAAAAACAAGCTACCCATCCAGAAATCCTCGACCTTGGTTCACCTGTTGAAGAAGGTCATGCTTTTTATTGGACAATTTTTTACATTGAAAACGCTATTCACTGATCAAAAAAATAAACTTCCACATACAAACCTGATTGGATTCCTCATCACCCATGATCTCCTCATAAATCGTTATCAGACACACTTTCGCATCACGCCCACGAAGTTGATTCCTGAAAATAATTCCCACATTAGTGCACATTCATTTTGAAAGACTAACGAGCCTCATTAGTACAGCTGTGAGTTTTTACTCTGTCTGACTTCACAAAGCCTGCCCCCTTCGCTGTACGACAAAATGTTCCCTATGGTCCTCGCGTTCCTGTCGCTCACCCCTTGTTTCCACCTCATTGGGCTACTTTTGGCGCATTTCAAAATACAGCCGGGCGATCCTTCGGATTAAGCCAGAGGTTTTGCGGAATTTAAAATTAAATGTCACTCCGCCTCTGCATTTTGTCTGCCGCCTGAGCTAAGTCTCATTCTAGCAAGGGTATCTTTTACGCAGTTTGAAACGCATCACCACCACAGTGCCCCCGTACCTTGCGATAGCGCTCTACTTCTCTTGGCGCTTTATCCTGGCAAGGCTAGGGCAGGAATTTGACCGCCGAACCGTGAACATGGTAAGATGCGCTAGCCGTCACTGCAGCAAACCCAGTGGAGCAAGCGTTCCCTCAAGGAAAATATCCATTACCCGCCCGCGCCCGCCTCGTAGAAAAGCTCTTATACTGTCACGCTTCTTCCACTGGAAAATAATAAGTGGGAGGCAGGGGGTTAAGAAACAGACATGGGACCTGGGATTTTTCTGATCTTCCTGAGGCATTGGCGAGCATTTGCGAAGAATACTGGCATACAAGCGAAGAAAAGAATATAAGAAGAGAGAGCAATGGGGACAGCGAGACGCAGGCACTGCAAGTAACGTCAACTTCAAGGTAGAGCTGACAGCAGCTGCGAGCCTGGCATTACTATGGGTCCAATAGCGTCATTCTGAAGCCGCCTTCTGTTGCAACAATCCCTGTTATCTGTTCTTCCATCGTACCGGCTTCTTCTTTTTGGCCGTGAACATACCACGAGGTTATCATAAAATGTCTTTTCAAGGACGGGGTCGTGATGGAAAAGTAGGCGGAGTATTTGACGAGGATCGCAAGAGACCACCCGCGATAGGCGCAATTTGCGCTGCAGGACCGCTAGCACAAGATCTATGCCACACTTTTAACTCAGGATATTGGGAAGGTAGCGTGATGATTTCCCTGGATCCTTGGATTTTTATGACACACTAAATGTCAACATGTGACGCAGCATCTACCAAGATTATGAGCCCAATAATAACCTCACAGAGCTAAAATACTATATGTAGTTCATAGCTATTGAAAAATACCAAGAAAGAAATGAAGCTTACTTCGCCATCAAGCCCATTCGATGAGCCGTAGGTCTCGTCCCTACCATACCGACCGTGAGAATGTTCACCAACGAAAACAAATCCACATCTGCGGCATGCTCAGCTCCAGCTGCTCTCAGAACTAAAAAGGACAATTTCGGAATCGGAATGTAGTACTGAGAAAGTACAGAAAGGTAATTGAGTCGTATAACTTCGTATAATGTATGCTATACGAAGTTAAATTTGAAACTCAGGAATCAGCGAATCAGGAATGACAGAAATTCAGGAAAGAGACGACTAATAAGCAGCGCCATAGCGGTCGAGTTCAAATATCACCGGGGTGGGGTGACCCGTCAAGTACCTCCTTGGACGCTACTTATCCCTGAGCCGTGAAGCGGAACGGAAATGTGGTGGAAATAATTGAGCGGTCTTTGGGCAGTCTCGTGTTTTAGCCCGGAGCTTAACAGAGCTGCCTAATTTTTGAGCTCTTCTCCATAATAGCCACTTACTGTGAAGGACAATTACAACAATAGCAGGCCTGTTTGAGCTCATGCTCAAAAGGAAGTGCAGCTACCTATTTTGGCGATCGAATAAAAGGTAAAAGACATTGAAGGTAGGAATCATCGCCCATTCTTCTCCATGAGGCACATTTATTTCGGGCTCTTTTCCCGAAACCCTCCAAAATTAGCAACTCGCTCTGCTCAAGCATATGGACTTAAAGTGTCTCTCGCGGACCTAAAGACACAGTCCACTATGGCAAGAATCGGGCACAGGAGTAAAGCATAAACTAAACGGGCAAGGTGGGCGGAACTAACGACCCAGGAAAGGCATTCAACTTCCCATGGAACTTTGAGATGAGACCCAGATATATCGATAGAGCTTCAAACGCTGATTACAAATATGGAAACTAAAACTGCAAAATGAACCTGCCAAGGAAGTTGTGAGCAGTCAAAGTTGCCTGGAAGTGAAGCATTACACTAGCCTCCGGGCTTTCAAAGTCGCCTTGGAGTAGTGGTAGTGCTCTCGGAATTTGCGCTCCGACGGGAGGAGAGCTTATGACCCCCAGGGTGAATAGCGAGGGCACCACCACTGCTCCGCGGAGGCTCTGAAAGCCCGGAGGCTAGTGTAATGCTTTACTTCCAGCCAACTTTGACTGCTCACAACTTCCTTGGCAGGTTCATTTTGCAGTTTTAGTTTCCATATTTGTAATCAGCGTTTGAAGCTCTATCGATATATCTGGGTCTCATCTCAAAGTTCCATGGGAAGTTGAATGCCTTTCCTGGTAAGTAAAGCAAAGGCTGCGAAGTCTGATTACGCCGTGTCTAATCTATTTGCAGATAATTTTGAGGGTTTGTTTTTTGAATTTTGATTCCTCTTGTTTTGATCGTGAGTTCGTCTCGTCGTTGAGACCAAAACATGAAGAGAATGTCGTATGAATGAGGGGGAAAAACGACGAAGAAACGAGATAGTATAGGGGTGGAGAGTAGAGAGCGATCCCGGTGTGTCACTGTGAGAAGAGTTTGCTAATGAAGGCGGGGCATCTAGGGGTCCTTGTCATCAAATCGTTTTGAACCAATTCCGTAAATACAGCTCTATTGCTCCTGAGCACCTGATTCAGGAGCTAGCGATTCTTCTACAAACCGCCCCCCCCCCGCGTTTGATAAACCCAAGGTTCAAATTTGACGCTTCAATAGTAAGAATAGGCTCCATTCGGGTGTAAGTCACACTACTCTACCGTAGTAGTTTGAATGTACAACAACTTTCTGCCCCATCAAGCAAGCATCTGACGCAATACCATCATGTGCTACCGTAATGGGCTAAGAAACTAAGAAGAAACTTCACTAACCAGCACCCATACAGTAGACTGCAGCTGCGCCCGGGTCTTCCTCGTTTTTCGACCATTCCGGAGGGACGAAACACTGGTCGACAGACGACTGCGGCACGGTTCTAATCTGAACAAGTCGCATTACGATCGTTTAGCAATCTTGCTACAACTTCAGAACAAATCACTATATAAAGCCTTGTAAAAAGGTGAAGGCCGTGATAGACTAATGAGCGTTGTTCAAACGCTTTCGGATGCGCCGCGCACGCGACATCCGCTCAGAATTTGAGCGCTTTTGCCTACGTATCCAATCGAGCAGTACCTTTGAAGGAAGTGATCCGCCCGCTCTACGTGTAATGAGGACACCTACTGTCAGGTTCTAAAGAGAATCCCAAATCTTTCACAAATTTACGTCCACCTCACATAAGGGTAGGAGTAATCAGTAAATAAGCCTTGGTTATCAAAATTATATTGATTCATCCGAATATAAAAAGGTTTGGAACCCAGTAACATATCAGTTAGGGTAAAATAGCCTTTCTCTTACTGCCTAACGATTATGAGCTAATTCGAGTCATGGGTAAAGACAATTTTAGTGAAGCCAAATTAGTAGAAAACAAATAATTGAATAAGTAACCGATACTGAGAAAAAACAGGCAATAAATAGCAATATTAAACTCACTTCTACATTTCCTTTACTATTTATAAATACATTTTCGGTGTCGAAAACCGTTCCACGAGGACATGGCGGTAGAACTTCGGCAGCAGCCGCAGCTAACGAGAGCAGTTCATGAGCTTCCAAGCCAGAACCGCGTACCTTTAAAATTATTCGGTATAAATTTATAAACTTATGCAATCATAAAGTTTTATTCAAGTGAATACACATAATAAAGCGTATATTTTTTAAGCACTTTAGCCACACCTCAAAGGCATGGGCCGCGATTAGATCCTAAAGAGATTCTCTCTTTGAAAGAGGTAAAGGACCCCTAATCACAAGGGTGGTGATACCGTCGCACCTTCGAAGTGCACGGCGAAGGAAGCGAATGCCTCCGCTTGACCGCTTCCACCGCTGCATTTTTAGCAAGGGCAGGCATCGCTGTACCCTCTCGCACACGACGCGCTCTGTCCCTCTCCTGTGTCTCTCCGTCGTACCACGGTCAGAATGGAAAACTTAGCCGTTCTATCATATCTCTCTCTCTATGGTGCTCTTTGCTTTTCTCTCCACCAACCTCCTACTAGCCCTTATCGCTTAATTTTCGGAAAGATGACACAGCTATTCGATCGCGACCTCTGCCTTCAAGAGGATGTGACCGTCAGCAGCAACGAACTTACAGTTCGCATGAGCTCTCATTCTTAGCGCACATGCTGTCGACCCGCAAGTACAATCAGAGGACCCCACGTGCCCCTCAACATTGGCACCCATTTGCAGAGAGAGCTACTCAGGTCCAGGCCGCTGTGACAATTGTCTATTTCTTCCAGTCGGAGTGACGAGAGGAGGTAGGTGAGCGGAGGAGGCGTCCATTAGGGTGGATAGACCAGGTGGAATCTGGCAGGCGGGTGACACGGCTACGCGAAGTATGGGAATGACTCGCGCATAACCTTGGAGAGCTCGTCCTGTCTTCATCCCGCCATGAAATTGCCGCCCTAACAAAATGCGGTAGTGTGCCCTTTGAAACGTGACACGCAGAAAGGCAGACACTATGTATGAGGAAGGCGGCACCAGCGATAACTATGCCGGCCTATCAAAGTGGTCGAAAAAATTCTAAGTATGAGGGTCATATTGAGACCCTGTCAAGTGACGAGTCGGCTTACACAGGGATACCTTGGTCAGGCCTCACCCTAGTGTGTAGACAGTCGGGAAGAGCGCAAAAACTATTTCTCCTTCCAACTAAGTTTTTCGCTTCTGTTTGAAAAGTATATGCCCGCGACACCAAAGGGGGGGAGCCGAAAATGTCCTTTGAAAGACAAATATGAATGGGGGCTGCGCTGACCCTCGATGTGCACCAACATTATGGCTAACCTTTTTCCGGCGCGTAATTCAGCAGCCAACAATACACACTTGATGACTTGGGCCAACTTCGGCTGCAAATGCGCCAAGTATGGACGAGGCCATAGGTAGCGCTGTGAGATTCTTTCCCTGGTAACGATCGATTTATAGACTAAAACAGCTCAAAAGCTCCGACCCATACTGTACTCAATGGTAACGGTATGATCAAATGGACGCAACCACGTCCACATCGCCAAAATGACGTCACCAACAATTTGAGTGGTTAAAAATTGAAAATTTTAGCAGTTACAGTAATACTCACCTCACATACTTCCGCTACACTAACTTTGATTTCAGGAATTGGAACGACCTTCATGTGAGAATCGAATCGAGTATTAAGTATAGGTTAGACCATTCACGTAATTACAGTATGTTAGTAGGAAGCGATCTGAAATCAATAACGATCAATGTCGGCAAATCACGAACAGAATGGAACGTACGAAACGAAGCAGAACAGACGATCGACTATAAAATGAAGAATCGAATCGAAGTGCGGCGCCAGGATTCCCACGGGTGTCGATAATTCTGCCCTTATCAGACGGTTGGTGTTGTGGGTGTGGGTGTATGCGTGTGTGTGTGCAGGCACCCGTCGCCTTACTCACCCCACTCTACTAGTATCGATAAAGCCAAAACCGTCCACAGTACTGTTATGAGGGTTAACCCTGCTGAGCTGAACTCGCTTGGGTAAAGTTACCATGAAATGGTAAAGGTAACAAAACCTACGACACAGGGTAAAAAACTCGGTTTGAATGCCAAGCTCCCGAGCCGAGAAGGGGTAAATCCTCAGTACTCCAAAAAATGTTTCCCAAATGGGAAATGTGTCCAGAAAGAGGGAGTTTTTAAGGTACGAATGCACGTAAAAAAATGTAGCGGAAGAAAAGAATTATTTCATAAAAAAAGCCATGCTGGAAAGGGGTAGTTCCCCGTCGCTGACTGATTGCCCTTCGGGTTTTCTCCCCGTGCGTCGACCACATTAATTCAGAAAAGAACACAGTCGGCTGCAATGGTGTAGAATTCAATCGATTCTTCAAAATTCATACCCGTAAAGAGAATTAACTGTGATGAATTCATTTTTACAAAGCTGTGCAATCAATCGATAACTGAAATTCACTCTTCAGTTCCAAAAAAGACATGCAGCTGGACAAACATGGAAAATAGAAGTCAATTAACCGATGAAATTGTAGTTCAAGGGAACAGACGGCTGTCAATGAAGTCTCCCCCTGCAGAGTCGATTATGCAGTTATTTATAAACGGTTACAGTAATCATTATAATAACAATTACTCTACGTCAGATCGTTAAAGGATCATCACAGTACCGGAACAGTACCGGAGACAAAAATGGGAGAACCTTTGATTTCAGGTTTTCAGCAATTACATATTTAATCGCTATAATAGAATGGTTATTGACGTAGCTGATCGATATCATTAGCCAAAGGAGCACGAAATTAGGCATTCGGCGTTGGTCAATGCTCTTCTGGGATGCGCCGCGCATTTCAAATCCACTTGGAATCATACTAGTATTTGATTTTTTCCTATGCGATGTTCCGGGCATGCATTTTTTTTTTTTTTTTTTTTTTTTTTTTTTTTTTTTTTTTTTTTTTTTTTTTTTTTTTTTTTTTTTTTTTTTTTTTTTTTTTTTTTTTTTTTTTTTTTTTTTTTTTCTTCATTCCAAGGTTTAGCTTTTCCTATTACCACCAAGCTACCATGCTACGATCTCCGAAGAATGAAGACTTTTGCTGTCCTGGCTAACAGCCCAGTCATGAACTTACCCACGGACTGGGCGGTTAATGGCACCCCTTACCGCTGCACCACCTCTATGCTATCAAATTATGGCATATTTATCAGTAATTTAACTATTGATTAACTATTGATTAATTCAAAAAAGGAAATTCCGCCGAAAAGGGCACATTTGCAAAACGCTAGTACAATCTGAGCAAACAAAACTACACTACACAGTAAATGAAAACGCTGTGAAGAAAGTTCGATCGTATAATGAAAAATCGATAATCGATTCGTTCCCACCGCGAGAACTGGTCAACACCGAATCTAATACATATGTTCTCACAGACGAATACGGTACCAGGTTTACGATTACTGTAGATATCGAAGCATTGGTTAGCCTGGGCTACCACACGTCCCATACGTGAGTTGAACCACGGACTGTGTGGGTGGTTCGTGGCGCCACTTACCACTGCACCACCTCGTCCTTATGCTATCAAAATTAAGGCATATTTATCAGTAATTCAACTATTGATTAACTATTGATTAATTCAAAAAAGGAAATTCCGCCGAAAAGGGCACATTTGCAAAACGCTAGTACAATCTGAGCAAACAAAACTACACTACACAGTAAATGAAAGCGCTATGAAGCAAGTACGGTTGATTGTACTAAAAAAATCAATATCGATATGTGATAAAAATCGATAATCGATTAGTTCCCCAGAACAAGCATCTCTGTTGCGACATGAACATGAATAAAGCCATGAAAACTGGCCAAACCGAATCTAATCACTATCGATTAATTGGATAAAATGGAAACAAGACTTTTGGGTCTGTACCACAGGTAGAACCTCTATCGTAATGTCTGCCATAAAAGCATGAAGATTACTGTAGTAAAAAGTGCTGGTAATGAAAAGGCACTAAAAGATACAATGTGTTCAAGTCTACTCAAATATCGCATTTAAGTGTTCAAAAAAGACAGATAAAAATAGCAGAATTAACATTACATTGACATTGAGTTAACATGAACATGCAAAAAACAGGACGAGACGCGCGCGGTTGCACAGCGTTCAATTGTGGCAACCAATAAAAAAACACATAGGATGTAATCAATAAAGCTTTCCCCTTGCATAAAGAGACACCTAAGCTTAATTAACTATACGCACTATTATATTTGGCTAAAGAAATTAGTGATCAGTACTGAGAAGAGTTATAAACTGAGTTCTTGCAATGACAATGACTAATCATGATTAGGGCGTGGCCGACTGAGTCATGTAGTTCGCAACGCGCAATTTGGACGAGTTGTACGACGAATGCCTGCTCAAACACCCACTTCGAGGAGGGAAGACTCATTTCCCATTTGTTGCACAACATTCAGTTCAAACGTAACGTCATTTAAATGGCGGCAGGGGACAATAACTGGATGATGACTCAGAGGGAGGAAGGCGAGCAGGTAATGGGCAGTTAAGTAGTATATTTTTAGACGCTATCGCAATACGCGGGGGCATCCTTCAGGATTGATCCTAGGAGGATGCAGGAACATCAGGAAGTTGCTCCTGCACCCTGGAGCCTCTGATTGCTCCCCTAAGGCTTAGCCCCGATTTTAACAGGAAGGAGATATTTTAAGCGAGTTCTAATGCACTGTCACCAC